CCGCCTCCCCCCGCCCCTCCCCGCAGACGTGAGCGGGGGGGTGGGGGCGCGGCGAGGCGCCGGCAGCCGTGACGAGGCGCTCCCGGCGCTGAGCGCTTCTGCTCCGGGCACGCATGGCGCCCGCACACGGAGTCTGACCTGATGAGGACGCAAGGGGGTTAATATGAACGCCTGTCTCGGTGGAATCTGGCCCTGGCTCCCTCTGCTCTTGACCTGGCTCACCCCTGAGGTCAGCTCTTCATGGTGGTAAGTCTACGCACACGGGCCGTGCGGGAGGGGAGATTTGGAGATGAGAGTGGAGACCACACTGGTCACCTAGACCCTTCCCAAAGGCGCTTCCCTGCAGCCGCGGATTTTGGCTGAAGCCAGTCTGCTGCCCTTTCTTATCACCCCATTGGGAGCCTCTCGCTTTTCCGTGGAAGACCATTTCAGCTTTGACAACTCCAAAAAAAAAATATATATATATATATTCCCCTCAAATAAGAGCTCTGATGTCTGGTTTATTTGGATCCAGCTGAGCGACAGGAAAATCAGCCAATTTCTTATCCCGTTGAGAGATGCGCTAGCCGGGTCTCTAGCTCTGAAACAGACCCGTGTGTGTGTGTGTGTGTGTGTGTGTGTGTGTGTGTGTGTGTGTGTGTTAGTTTACCTTGAAAACTACAAACCCCTTTTCTACCGGTCCCCCGCCCCCAACAAACTGCCTCAAGATAAACCCATGGACCAGTTCAAGCAGTCAAAAGTTGTAGAGCCCAAAGCGTGTGATTTTGTATTATCTTCCAACCTTCCACATTCCTAATGCTTCATCCCAGTGAGACAGAAAAACGTTTTGCTGCCTCTAGGTAGAGACTATCGCCTTAATACAAAGCTGTAGACCCCAAAACTTCTAAAACCACCTCGTTTCAAACCATCACACCCCCAAAGAGTAACTTTGCTACTTCCCTTTATGCTTTGATCTGTGATTATTTATTTTTGCATAGTGATGGGACTTTTACATAGTGATGGGTCTTTTAGCATCATTAAAAAGTTCCAAAGGCAGATTCTCACTTTATCCAGAAACTCTTCCCCACCTTTTGACTTTCTGATTTTGGAAAGAAGTGGAGTGGAGCGCTCTGAAACTTCCTTGCACCTACAATTCAGAACTCTATTAAAACACTAATTATGAAAAATGAGTTATCATGGACTTTGTTTTTTTTTTTTTTTTTTTTTTTTTTTTTTTTAAGGAAACTGCCCCAAAGTAAGGAGTCTCAGCCAGATAAAAGATTAGAGCAGGGAACTGTTTAGGAAGACACTGAAGCCCTTCAAAGAGCAAGACAAAGCGCTGATAGGAAGAGGGGTTCAATTCCTTCCTAAGCCCACTTTGAACAGGAAGGCGTTTAGCCTTGACATTGCTGACACAGGAGCAAAGATTGATTTATCAGACTGACCATTTTTCAATAAAATGACTATTTCTGTTTCCATGGATGTATAAACATTATTTATTGCTCAGGCTTTTTGTCACATTGTCTCTCAGCTGTCACTTCAATATATTTTTTGAAAGTCACAGCTGTAACAATTTTATGATCATATAAAATAATGAAAATACAAGAAAAAGACATTCTCCTTGTTTGATCGCTTCAAAAGACACCTATGGCAGCTTGGGTTATATAAAAGGTACCTTTCTAAACATTTCACAACTAATAGAGAACATCTGGGTAGAGATGATGATGTAATTTTTTGTTAAAAGTTTCTTTTCAGAAAGTACTTTATGGAGCTATAACACTGTTTGGTTCTTCCAAACATTTAGTGTCCTTAATAACAATAGAATAACTTTTTTTCCAAAGGTTTTTCTGTAAAAGCCAAAAAGAGCTAGAAAATGGAAATATTTAAAGGACTCTTTGGTAAGGAAAGAACAGTATGTCCAGGAGAAGAGTGAACAGCAGATATCAGCAGGTGTTGATTAGACAGATACAGACAGTTTTTAAGACATGAGGTCAAAAAATGGGAGCAGTAATCTTCTAAAGGTCAGTCTACCCGAAAGCCAAGTCCAGACACACTGTCACTGAGATCAGAGCTTTCTTGGGAAATCTTTGATGTGTTCCTCCAGATCACATTGCTTCCTCCTGTGTTATGCAGACCTTACCTCTGTCATCCTTGCCTGCTTCTCCACTGAATTAAAATCCAATAATCCTTGCTTTCTAATACCACTGAAAGGATAAGGAATTCATATTTGAAAAGCACTGTGAACTCTTCAGCCTCCTGCGGAACACTGAGCCAGACCTTACTGTTCGTGTTGCTCTCCCCTCTGTGTTGGTCTCTCACAGGTACATGAGAGCTACAGGTGGCTCCTCCAGGGTGATGTGTGACAATGTGCCAGGCCTGGTGAGCCGTCAGAGGCAGCTCTGCCACAGACACCCAGATGTGATGCGTGCCATTGGCCTGGGCGTAGCCGAGTGGACCGCAGAGTGCCAGCACCAATTCCGCCAGCACCGCTGGAACTGCAACACCCTGGACAGGGATCACAGCCTCTTTGGCAGGGTCCTACTCCGCAGTAAGTCTTCCTCCCTCACCGGGCCCTGTGGATTCTCCCCTTAAGCACAGCTCCCCTCACTCAGTCTTCAAAACCCCTGCTCATTATTACTGCATTTTATGAAGTTACAGTTTGTCCCTGTTTTATGGATCAGGACCAGAGAAGTCAAGGAACTTGTCTGAAGTCTCATAGGAGGCCGGTCTATGAGTAGGATGTGGTGTCTCAGGCTGCTATGTTTCACTCTGCCCTGTTCATCACTTCTCCCCTCCATGTCCTCCAAGTTCAGATTTTTTTCTTTAGGAGAAGAAAGGAAGCAGCCACAGGACCTTTTTGACTTTTTCCTTGTCTTTCTGGGGCTTCCTCGAGAAGAATTTGAGTAACTGAGCAGGACAGATCTTTTCTTGGCCCAAGATTGCATTACAAAAACATCAACACCGTCTAAGTGTTAGTAAGTAGCAGAGACAAATCTCTACTCACCCTCTTTGTCTTCCCATCTAGCAACCCAACCCTGGGTCACTCGGTGTCTAAATTAAACATTGTTCCCCCAGTAGATTGTAAATCCTTTAACGGTAGAGACTAGCGATATTCCCTCTGCCTTGCTTGGTGCCTTGGGTCTTACAAGTTGCATTCATTCATCACATGAATGAGTGGGTAGACTAGCAGGGAGCACCTGTTGTTTTTCAGGTACATTTTGGGCAATAAGGGGTGAGAAGCATAAATACATGGATATTTTTCCCCCTTAGAAGGAGCCTTCAACATTATCTAATTATGTAATAAACTTCTTAAAAGTTCTGCATATGGAAAGTAACTCTCTAGTTAATATTCTTAAATCAGACACAATTAATTAAAAACCAGGTTTTATTTCCTAATAATACCCATTCACTAAGGTGGCATTATCAGTATTCTCTAAGAAATATCACAATTCATTTGCCATTAGGAAATCTGACTGCAAACACAGCAATTTAAGTGTGAACCCCAGAAATAGGAAACTCTACACTTGTCTTTGTCCCACCCTCCCACCCCCCATCTCTAAGAAAATCATCCAGACTGTGCACTTGGTAATGCTTAACAGAGGGTGTTTCTATCATGTAATCATCACAGCCCTAGGGTTTTATGAGGCCAAATGCATAACTGAATGTCTCTAAAATCCCCCAAGGGCGTAGTACTCTCATTCTTAGAGTATCCCTTAAGTTAATTTACTGCGATATTCTGCAATTTTATTCTCTAGTTTAAGAACTATATACTTCTGCATTCCTTTTGGAGTTTCGATATGACATCGCAAATTTTTGAAAGGTTAATAGTAAATTTCAGTTTCATGGAATTTTAAGACTTCACCTAGATTATCTCACCAGTGAATCCATTAAAGTGCTGGACCTTGTCAAAGAGTTTGCACGTGTCTACCTAAAGAAATCTTTGAATGTACTCTGTGCAGCCTATGTTTAAAACGTATCAATATATTTTTTAAGGTACTCACAACAATTTCAAAATGAATGCACTTCTCATTATAAGATGATCACCTCTAGATCCATTACAATGTCTCAATAGTAGAAAAAAATTTAGATCACACATTAATAGAAGCCATTTCAACTACTACTCCTAAACAGTATATTTGCCAAAGTTGGGGATTCATTCAGAAAAGATTTAACTTAAAGATGGCAATGTTTGTTTCCTCAGAGCTGAGAGGAATGAGGTTAGATCTAGGGGAAATGGAACTGATTTGACTTCGTCTAAGACTGCAGGTCTAACTTGTACTTCCTTCACATTTCTTTCAGATGAAGTGGGATGCTTTGCCAGACTCCTCAGAACTTAAAACATTCATGCTATACAGTTTCTTTCCATTCTTCACAAAAGGCCAGACTCTTTCCTAGACATTTATGCAAACTCATGTGACTGTCAGTGGAGATTTTGTATTGGTTGTGGGAGGGCTGAATTTGGCCTAAAGCAGCTTATTCTGAAACTAACAACGAAATTACAATGAAGATATCCAAAGATTTTTTAAATTAATTAGTTGGAGGGAAACTGACACCTTAGAGTTGTGAAGAGTTCTCATTTGGAAATTTAAATGTGCTTATAGAGGAACAGGAAAGGCAAAAGACAATACAAGTTATAGGGAACACATAAAAATGACTAAAATATCCCATAGTCATAAGAAATGGAGAATATTTGCCTGACTTGTTTTAGAAAGACAGAATAAATGGAATAATTTTTAAAGAACATTTGTAATTTACTCATTTAACAGATAGTCACCAGTCACAGGCAGAGAAACTTAAAAGGCAGAACTAGTAAATCCCAAAATATTCTTGTAAGAATACAGATCTAGAATTCTAGACTAAGTCTTAAAAAACAAAAAGGTGATTCAGGCTCATCCTTGAAAATGTCACAAAAAAGAAAAGCAAATATTTTAATGAGAATTGAACAACACATAACCTTCAAGAAACCCTAACTTACTCTAGTGTTTTGTCTCGTGAGGTAACAACCCCTCACCCTAAAGAAAACTGTGCCTATGTATTTAATAGGAATTGCTTGACTTAGCTCAACCTAAAAACTAGATGAACTTCCACAGTAACCCATTAGGAAGTACAAATATCATAATGTAGATTTGGATTTCATTTTGTTTAAAAAGAATCATTTTTTCTAAGAAGGCCCAAGATCGAAATTTGTTTTGTAACGAAGCCAACTCTTAAAATGTGCTACTATTTCACACATAGCATTTTAGTGATTCATCTAAAACACTTAACTAAAAACATCTTAAGGCCATGTCTACATGATACCAAAACATCTGGAGGTAAAATGAAAAGCCAGTCAATATGCTAAGTTTTTTATTTAAATAAATAAATAGCTATTTAGTAGTATGTTTGAATAATAAATGACAGCTATTTAAGAAGGTGATAGTTTTGCCTTGGAAATTATTACTGAAATATAGCAGATTATAAGTGTGTGTGTGTGTGTGTGTGTGTGTGTGTTTCCCTTTCAGTCAACAAGTTAATGTATTTGTTCACAAGTGACACCAGAGTGAATTCTGTGCCTTGACACCTTATTCTACTGCTTTCAAAATATTGTGTGGTCACTAACATACTATCATCTATGTTTTCCATTCTTTTCCTATAAAACACTACCTCATAAAATTTATCTTCTTTCTCTCAAAAAAGTAAGACTAGTGTTGATATGTTAAGCATTTAGGAATTTTTTTCCCTAGGTGACATCTCTAAATTTGGGCACCAGACTAACAAATCCAAAACCAGGCTTTAGAAGATAAATGGACTATGAGCATTTTCCTAAACTATAAAATGGGTATAATAGAAATTTCATCTCTCTGAAAGCCACCACCTAAGAATAAGCCATATTAGTATCCATTAGTCACAAAACATATTAGTTTCATTTAGAATATCTGTGATCCTTATGATACAAAGCTAGGACTCTTAGAAAACAACTCCCTTGACCATCACACTGCTCTTGGAAGAGTGCTGCCTGCTACCTATGGCAAATATTCATATAACTGATTTCACCTAACTTCGGGGGCATGATTGATTCCTTTTTTGATGATTAGAGGTTTGGGGGAAGATATTATTTGAAGGCTGAGGTAAGTGCCATTTAATATGGTGTAGATATGCTTTCCTGATTTTTAATAATGAGACTAGCAGAGCAAATATTGCAAGGGAGGTGTAGTAAATCTTACCACTGAATGACAAACGGAAACAAGCAGGGCTTCAATGCGAGAAGGTGGTTTGTTCTCCCAGCTGTGTGGTTCAAAAAGTCACACTCGTCTTGACATATTGAATCACCAAATGGTTCTGTTTTGTGCCTTGCATTGGCATTCGGTTGTCCAGCTTCTATTTTGATTGTTAATATATTTGCTGCAGCAACCATTAATAAAAAAGCATGCTAATAACAATGAAATACAGCTCCATTTGAAAAACGAGGTGCACACCGACCCTTAAGAGCCTTATATCTGTCACTATACCACAACACCGTGTTATGAGTTACTACAGATTATTAAAATAATTTAATGTAGTTATTGCATTGAAATATGTACCTTTCAGCCTGTAAGTGAAAGTAGCCTGTGCTCTAATAAAGAACAATTCTAAGTGAGTACCCCAAAGGGTTCTTGCCCAAGTCTAATTATAGGCGGTAAATTTGTTTCCTTCCAGAAAAACCAAAGAAAAGCTTTTCACTGTCTTTTACCCAATACCAGTGATTAGTGCAGGTGTTCCAGAAGAAAGTAAATTCACCTTAGTACTTAGACATAGTATGTAACTCAAGGATCTTGCATATTGCCTTCAACAATCTTTCAATTACTTGTGAAAGTTGATGCCAAGCCAACACTCTCCAGTGTTAACACGAGGGGCCAGTTCCTGCCTAAATTCTCTTCCCACCTCCACCTCTACATTTTTTGAACCCAGTATTTCAATTTCAATAATTTAAATGCACATGAGTGTCCACACTAATGCCTGGAGGTTTGGGAGGTTTTTTAAGAGGAGCTGTGATATCACAAATACCCAAATATGTTATGGAGTGATAGAATTATATGATTCAGATTATAGTTTTACACATGAAGAAACTAAGGCCCAGAGATGCCATGCTTCTCTCCTCTAGGACATTTCGGACTCCAGATTAAAGCAGAACAAGGTTGTATATGAGACTCATGTGTGGCCAGGTGCCAGGATAGGTCATCTTTTTCTTTCATGCTTTTTATTTCCTTTAAGATTTGTCTTCTGGATACCTAAATTCACAAAACCTGTACCAGATGGAGATGACTCAAATTAAAAAAAGAGGCTTGGCTCTAGAAAACAATCCTTCTAGAATACCAGCATTTTTTTTTTAATCTAGTGACAAGGGATATCATAAGCAGATCAAATATTAAATAATCATCTTGTGAAAGTTACTCAGAACTAGGGCTACCAGACCACTTTTAAGAAAAGCATTTTTGTTTCAGGTAGTCGGGAATCTGCCTTTGTTTACGCCATCTCCTCAGCTGGAGTTGTATTTGCCATCACCAGGGCCTGTAGCCAAGGAGAATTAAAATCCTGTTCCTGCGATCCAAAGAAGAAGGGAACCGCCAAGGACAGCAAGGGCACCTTTGATTGGGGTGGCTGTAGTGATAACATTGACTATGGGATCAAATTTGCCCGAGCATTTGTGGATGCCAAGGAAAGGAAAGGAAAGGATGCCAGAGCCCTGATGAATCTTCATAACAACAGAGCCGGCAGGAAGGTAAGGAGATGCTCGTTTTACAGACTGCGTGGTCTTAGAGGTCCCTTCAGCAAAGCTTATCTTGAGCTTCACTAGAGTTGGTAAAATACTGTATAGACACAACTTCCTACTGTCCCCCAGCTCAGAGATGTTTGTTCTAAAGAGTACCACCAACTAGGTTGAAATATTGTCACCCACACTCCACCTTCCTCCCCACAACTGAGCTGAAAGAGTCCACCCACTGTTTCCCGAATTATGTTGAGTCAAGTGTTTTATAGTCTCTCTGAATACAGTGTCATCTGGGCAGAAGATAGACCCTGTGGGTTAGGATAGTTCTTCATGGCACATAGTGATGATACATTGAATGTGTGTATCTACAAGTTATCAAAATCCAGAGCCTCTTCCCCCCCAACTTTTCATGAAACCAGTTTACCAGGCATGGTTCGATGGGTTCGGCTAGATTCAAGGATACATTCTTTTAGAACCAGATTCTCACTCATTAAAACTAGCTCTTACTCAGTAAGCCTTCCCTGTCATTTCTGACACTAGATGAAATAGTGGATCAAGGGAAGACATTTCTCTAAAGAAGTATTCTAGTCCCTATCCTCAGGCCTGATTAAATTCCTGTGCAGTGGATATCTGTTCAGTATTCATCTCCTATGTTCTGCTTGTTAGAAACACTGAGGCACTTCAGGTGCTCAAGTAAAGAGAAAAGTCAAGACTAGAACTCAGGTATCAACCTAACCTAGACATGCTTTGACCTAGCGTTAAACTATGCCTATGCCAATGTTCAGATCCATTGATGATCCATGTCTTTCTGTGTGGTGGAATGCCCAGAATTACTAAAGGAGCTGAGTGCTGAACTTTAGGCCTCTGTGTAGAAAACATGCACTGGCTGGGCTAATCAAATATTTGCTCAGAACCATTCTAGAATAATCTAATTGCCAATGGTAAGAGATAACCATCATTTGTCTTTTATCAATGCGATGCAAAAATGTGCTTGATATTAATATATAAAGAAAGGCATAAAATTGAAAGGTCTCCAAGGGGTCATTAATAGGAAAAAGAATAGAAAAGAATGCAGATCTGTGTGGATGAAAGCCCTTTTACTGGGCTCTTGGAGAGAGCAAATCTCATTTAAAGGAAACTGGAAGGAAAGAACTCATGCTTAGCACATGGTATAAGATGAGTGTGACCTGAACTGTTTACAAATAGTACCTTTCTTGAACTTTAAAAATCAACATTCCCTTTTTTATCATGAATTTGTGAACTCATAGTGACTACTGCCAAGAATATAGACTATGGTTGTGCAATCCTGCAGCCATTGGAAATTATTGTTTGTGCAATGATTTGTATAAAAATAATTTATATCAGCCTTTTCTTTGACATTGATACTGCATGCATAAGTTACAAAATGTGGTGTTTTTGATAGGAATATGCTGCTTAATTATTCAAATAGGGGTTATAGCTAGATTTCTCTATTTGGAAAGATAAAACATATGGTCATACTTTGTATCAAAAGAATGTTGAATTATCAAAATGCATGTTAATTTGGCTTAATAGGTCATTAGTCATTGAATGTTTTAGCTCTTCAAGATAATAGATCTTAGCTATAATATTTTAGGCCCTGAATAAATATGGCTTTCAATGTAAATCACATGATTCTTCCCTGTGTAGAGGTGAACAGCTGTCAGGTCTCAGATATTCTCCTGCCTACTCTGCAAAACTTAGGAGGGCTACTTTTGATTGGAATAAATGTGCACACACTGACTTTTTAAAATGTGGCTTTAATTAATGGTGGGTGGGCAGACTTTTTCAAGGAGATGCATGATGTCAGTGAATATGAACTTTAATGAGAGTAAATGTATTGAGATAAACATGAGTCTCTAATTCTCTTCTTGCGGTCATTAGACCCCCAATCTCTCCTCCCCCTTCGATCCAGCAGGTCTGTGCAATCGAAATGAGAACAGGCTGGCCTTGTGTTTGAAGGCAAGCTTCCTAAGCTAAGCTTCCAACTGGTCTGACTCTGGAAAACGCAGCCTCCAAGGCCAACAGCAACATCAGTCTATTTTCCTCTTTATGCCTTTCAGTATTTTCCAAAGTATCCCGTATGAGCATCTTTTACTTTTTAAACTGGGGGTAGGGAGTCAGTAGAGAAGCAAAACATTTGATTTAAAGAAAAGCCATCTAGTCTAAGAGTGTTTTTTTAGCCAACGCGAATAGTTAGAATTCAACACTGCCATTCACAACAGGCCTTAATTTTTCTCCAATAGTCAAACAGTTTAATTCATTTTTTTTAATAGCAGCTGGTTAGAGCACCCTCATGTGTCTCTGCACTGTAATATCATTTACTTTAATCAGTTTCAGCAAAATTTATAACACTCCTTTTTTCCTTCATGCTTCCTTGAAAGCTCATTCTTGATTGGGTCTAGTTTTACAATTCCAAATAGTACTATTAGTATGTATTAAAAAGACCAATCTACTTGTTCAAAAAAAAATTCATAAAGAAATTTTACAGCTTCCTTTGGCTGCTCTTCTTAGATCTAAAGAAGATGCTATGAAAAATTTCAAATTACGTTTTAAGATAGGTTTAGGTGGGGCCAGCAAATGACGTAGCTATTACGTCACTAGACTCCTGTATGGCCAATTGTGGTTCTAGTCCCTGACCTGATGAATTGAAATTCACTCCAGGAGCATGTGCATGTGTGCCCAGAATCCCAGGAGGAGAATAGAGAAGAGGCGATTGCAGCATGACCATCACCTCTGGGGGATTATTTCTCATTTTCCCTCTGTCTGTCTGTCTGTCTCTCTCTCTCTCTGTCTCTCTCTCTCTCTTTCTCTCTCTGGCAAGCCATACACCCTAAGGTAAAAACCTCTACAAATAAATAAATAATTTTTTTAAAAAAAGATAGGCTTAGCTAAATTATAAGCAAAAAGTACCTTTTCAATATCCACCATTTGTTCTTTTTTATGCAGATAGCTAAAATGTGTTCATACTTTCCTCCAAAATGAAATAATCACAACTTCTTTAAACTTCCCTAAAATAATCTGTATCAAAGTAATCCATGTCTCCAAATACTGCCCTTCAATCACTCTGAAAATTTCCATAAGATTAATCATTTTCATTGAAGAAGAGGAATTTTGTAAAAAATACTTGTCCCAAAAGGTGTCTCTTACTTTAGTGAAAACAGAAAGAACTTGGGATTTGAGATCAGACCCACTTTAGTTTTTATCTTGCAGTACCAATGGATTTGTTCACTGAATGTCAGTTTGCGTCAGATGTAAAAGGACATTTTGTGGTGCTAAGGGAAGACAGGTATAAGGCAGATAGCCTAGAATCTGGCATTGTAGTGGTAGTCAATAAAAGTTAGTTCTTTTCCCTTTAGTGAAATTATAGTTATTTGTAACAGGTTATAGAACGGGCTATAAATCAAATCTGAACTATTAGGATTCAATCTGATCAGTCCATCTAGCCATAGACTTTTCTCTTATAGCTTAATATACTAATGAGGGACAGAAGCTGGTATAATGGCTATGTCACTGGACTCCCATGTAGTTGACCACTGTTCAAATCCTGGTCCTGGTGGCTTAAACTCATGCCAGGTGCATGCGTGTGTGTGCCCAAGATCCTGAGAGGAGAATAGAGGAGAAGGGATTGTGGCATGGCCATCCCCCCTGGGTGGGGGGTGATTTCTCCCTTTCTATCTGTCTTTCTCTTTCTGGCGAGTGCACACACCCTTTAGCAAAAACTTCTCCAAAATAAATAAATAAATAAATAAAATGAATGCAAGAAAAAAATAATAACAACAGGCAGAGGGGCCAGCAGATGGAGTAGTGGTTAAAGTATTGAACTCCCACCTGACCTACCATGGTTCAAGTCCTGGACCTGGCAGCTTGAAGATCACACCAGGCATGTGTGCATGTGTGCCCAAAATCCCAGGAGGAGAATGGAAGAGAAGGTATTGTGGAGTGGCCATCCCTCCTAGGGGTGATTTCTCACTTTCTCTGTCTCTTTCTGGCTATCTCTAGTGAGCACATAAACCAAAAAAGGCAGATAATATGTTCTTATTTATAAAATACTGTCCAATGTTTTATCGTTTGTTCTTCCCAAAATTCCTATAGGAATAAAAGCAATAATATTTCTACTTTTCAGTTTAGAAACTGGGCATGAAGTGACAGATAAAGTGACAAATTTAGAGTCCTATAATCATGAAACTGTGCGCTTGGGAGTTCAATCCAGTTGTGTTTGCCTATGTATACTTTTCTAAATTTCCATGTCATCCCTAGTGAGATCTTCTGAGAAAAACAAATACTATTCACATTTTTTTAAAAAGCAGCTGCCCTTAGAAGGTAGTTCACTGATGTGTTTTTTCCCATGCGTGTATCTTTGCTTAACAAAATTTCTAAAATGAACGTGTGTTGATTTTTAATAACCAAGAAAAAAAGTTGTTTGAAATGCTGAAAACACAATAACACATCCAAAACAACTTACCCTTATTTGGGTAATTCATAAAATTTTACCTAATGACACAGCAAGTTTGAGACCAGTATTTCTGTGTATTATTGAACTAAATTTGGTTCAACAGATTATTAAGAAATTACTTTGGGAAACACACTGTTGTTGCTACTAAGTCAGATGCAGAAAAGAATAAGACAATGAAGCCTCTGACAAGAAAAAACTGAGTTCTAGAAAAAACTGAGTTCTAGGGAACCAGCAGTTAGCGTAATGGCTATGTCGCTGGACTCCCACGTAGTCGACCGCGGTTCGTGTCCTGGACCCGGTGGCTTAAAACTCACACCGGGCGCGTGTGCGTGCATGCCCAAGATCCCGAGAGGAGAATGGAGGAGAAGGGATTGCGGCGTGACCATCCCCCCTGGGAGGTGATTTCTCGCTTTCTGTCTCTATGTCTCTCTCTGTCTGTCTGGCGAGCGCATGCGCCCTACAGTGAAAATCTCTCAAAAAAAAAAAAAAAAAAAAAAAAGAAAAAACTGTTCTCTAGTCAGGGAGACAATTGCAAGGC